TCCAGGGGGTCCTACCCTGAGTAGTGCCTGGGTTGAGTTCTGGTTTGGATCTCGTGGGGGCTGAGCTTGCAGGCAGAATCAGGGGACGGCACCTGTGCAGAGAATTAGGAGGGAGAGCAGGACAAGTGTCCAGGCCATGGTAAAACTGCCCCAAACTCTTCCTCTGAGCTCACAGCTGGGGATGGGGCCTCAGGGTCCCTCTTATCCTCTGGGAGGGGGCAGGGATCCTCATGCAAATCTACTTCCTGCTTTCCTGTGGCTGAGGGGCTTCTCCCTGCTAAGAAGAAGGCTCAGTTAGAGGGAGCTGCTGCATGGGCCCCATTCACAGGGCCTGTGTGCCCAGATTCCCCAGGGCTGTCTGTGCTGTTGAGTGAGACAGTGCTGGCCCTTGACCTGGCACCTGCACACACCCTTTAGGCCGAGTCCTGGGCCTTCTCTGTGGGCCCGGGGAAGCACCCGCAGCCCTTCCCTCTGGCGATGAGATCACCCTTGGGGACCGAGGGGCAGGGAACGAATGAAGCAGAAGCTTGTGGAGACAGTGGTCACGCTGGTGTACGTGAGGCCAGAGTTCGTTGATCAGATGCAGAGAAATTGCCCATGATCCTCTCAGGCAATCCTTTCCTATGTTTGAGAAAGAAATCATCTGAGAACCCTTTGGCATCAGGGCTAGGCAAGAGAGGTCTTTGATGATGCCAGAGCTTGATTTGTAAAGGGAATGATGAATACACTGAATCCTCATCAAAGTATCTTTTGCTTTGCAAATAATTCTAAAGGGGATTAAAAAAAACAAGGAACAGGGAAAATATTGGAAACCCTGTACCCAGTGAATGTGCACTTGGAGACACGGGTCACTCGTGCCCAACTGCGGGGAACGTGAAACGGCACAGTCACTCGGGAACGAGTCTGGCAGCTCCTCAAAAAACTAGACCTGTGGGTACCACACTACCCAGCAGTTGTGCTCCTGGGCATTTATTTCGGAGAAGTGACAACTTAGGTTCCCAGAGAAGCTTTGGCCGGTGGAAATGGGGTTCTTTCACGGAGCTGCAAGGGAAGCATCTCAGAGACCCACGTAAGGGAGACCCATCTTTGCCCATCCTGCTGTGGAAAAAGTCCAGTCTCGCCTTCCTCAAGCCCAAAACAAACACCAAGGTCCAAAATTTCTGCGCTATTGGTTCAGTCCAGTCTTTGTCACTGTCCTCACCCAGCTGGCTCAGTCTGTGTTTCTGGCTGCACTCTGGCAGGTGTGCGCCTAGGCCCATGTTTGGAGTCTGCACAGCTGGCAGGCTATGGATGGCTGCTGGGCCCAAGGTGTTGCTGTAGAGAAAGAACTTCTTTGTTAAGCTGGGGTTATGTTAACTGGGGCTTGGGAAGGACCAAGTGGCCTTTCAAACTAACCAATCAACTTCCCAGTCTTTTGTGGGCTTTGGCTGGGTCGTCCACATAACCAATCCATTTCTTACATCTTCCAGGGCTGTGTGTCCCTTATCCAACCTGATCCTTTCTGCAGGCTAGACATCTCCCCCTTATGGTCACATTTTAGTTCCTACTGAGCGTGCCTCAAAGTAAGACCTTCCCCTGCACCACTGTGGCCTCTAGTGGGCAAGTATCTAGCAGAGGAATTTCCTCTGCTGTTTGTATTCCTCTCTGGGTGATGACCAGTAACGATGATCCTTTTTGCCACTTTGGGATTCAATGTCCCCTAGGGAGTGTGTGAAGCTTCCTAGTGAGGCAAGCCCAATATTTGATTCAGCTTCCCAGTACATTATGCTTCATGATGTCTGATTTCCTTTGCTCCCTTCCTGTGTTAATACCTAACTACAAATGCTAACAGAGCTACACGATGATGCTCACAGCACCCGTGTGCATGATGTTGCCCAGTGAGCGCCATCCAGACGCCCTGCCTCAGTGACAGTTAAACAGACTTTGGTCACCCGGACAGTGGGACACTGCTCAGCAGTGAAACGAGGAGACTCTCATGCAACGATAATCTCGAGGACCCTACAGGGGAGTAGGTGGAGTGAAAAGTGCCAAGTCCCAAATGCTAAATACAGTAGGCCTTCATTTTTATTTCCATACATCATTTCCGCAGAGACGAGATTGTAGAAATGGAGGATGAATCAGTGAGTGCGAAGGGTGGTGACCGCAGAGGGAGGAGGTGGGTGTTGTCACAAAAGGACAACAGGAGGGATCCCACGGTGCTGAGATGGTCTGTGTCCTGACCGCTGTAGTGGATGCGTGAATCTGCACCTGAGTGAGAACACGTGAAACGAAACACGCATGCACGCAATGACCCAGCAATTCCACTCCCAGGTGTTTACCTGAGTGACATGAAGATGAATGTCCACACCAACCCCTGGGAAACGTTGTAAAGGTTTTATGTGAAGCTGCCAAAGAGTGGAAACCGGAAACTCCCAATGTCATTAACTGGGGAAGGGATAAGCGCCCTTGGGCTCACCTGTGTGGTGGAATTTCCACATTGCAATGAAAACGGAAAGAGCTGTTAACACACAACAACATGGATGGATCTCAGCTGACTATGCAGAGAGAAACCAGAGCCACAGGGCTGCCTTGTGTTGTATAACCTCATTTGTGTGACTTCTGTGTGAAGAGCCACTTCTAAGGACAGACGAGGGACCAGTAGTGGTCAGGGGTCAGGGCAGGACGAGGCTCTGACTGCCCAGGGGCCGGCGGGCTTGATGGGCACTGGCGGAATGTTCAACATCCTGAGGTGGCAGCCGTTACTGCTCTGTGTGCCTTCGTCAGGACCCACGGACCTGTTCACTGAAAACAAGCATGTCAGTGTATGCAAATTAAACTGCATCTCAATAAGAAAGAAAACTAAATCATGGCGGGGGAAGACACCTGGGGCAGACCCTCCCTGAGAGTGCATTCAGGAAGCCTGGGGTCTTCAGAGACCACACTGCAAGGAGAGGCGGCCGGAGGTGGCAGGCACTGGTCTGACCTGCAAGACGGCCACAGCAACACCCGAGGCAGAACTTACACCTGAGTCAGTAAGGGCCTCAAAGCACCAGTTTTGCTGTTTTTAAGGGATAAACCCTTTAAGGGTGAAGATGTACTGGCCGAATTCAACAGAAAGCGACCAATGGGGAGAAGCCCAGCGGCTGAAGCAGACGAGTCCCGGGAGTGGACAGCGGGGACAGGAGGCCCCTGAGCGCACTCCCAGCCGTGTCCGCTCAAGTGTCTCCAGGTGGGGATTCTGAGACCGGTTTCAGCTGCTCCCTGGGTTTAATTGTCAACAGCTCTTTGGGTACCAGAGCTCCCCTCCTGTGACAGTGACCCTGCCTAACATCCACTCTTGAGACCCTGCTAACAGCCCAGAAACCAGTTCCTTTGACATGAACGTTGACTTAGTCCCAGAGTCCCCTGGTGTCTGTGAATCCCTGTGGGGAACAATCCAGGGGACACTGACATTTGTCCTTCCCATGGCGCAGTACTCTCCAACGACGGTGCTGACAGTGGTCTCACTGAGGTCCAACCCTTGCACAACCTGGGCCACCAGAAGTGCCCTAAACGGGGCCCTTTGTCCCTTGGAACTGAGATGTGAAGTGGCAGCCGCCTCACTGGCTGGTCACCATCTAAGCACAGCAGGAGTTGACCTGGGTCTGCTCCCTCTGCACTCCCTGTCGTCACTAACACAGGTCGTCCCTCTGTCTGTCCATGGAGGCCACTGCTGACTTTCTTCCATGTTACCAGCAGCACAGGCCCCGGGGGGACCTGGACAAGGTGTGGTCCACACTCGGGTTGGAACTTCATTCCCCACAGTCCTCCCGACCCACTGTCCTGCAGTGGGGGTGGTGGAGGACACTCCACCCACTAGAGGGCCCGAGGGAGCCTTGTTTGGGACAGAGTCGCTGTGCCCCTTGCAGAGAACAACCCTTGACTGGAGAGGGGAGGATGGGCATGATCCAGGTCCCCGTGACCCAGCTCCCTTGGCTGACTGAGGTCACCACGGGACTGACCCTGAGTCCATGCCCTCATGCTTGCCCTGCCCCCTGTCCACTACCTCCCCAGAGACCTTCTCCCCTCCTGCCTCGTGGGGGTCACAGAGGCCACGGGCAGCTCCTGGACTTTCATCTCACAGTCAGTCACTGGGTCCAGCCCTGAAATCCCAGCTGAGCCAGCTCAGACCAGTGTCCTAGAATCAGTGTTACTGTGGAGAGTGGGCTGGTCCATGTTGACTCCAAGGTTGGGGTGTGTGTTAAAGGTGCTTTGTCTTCCACTGGTAGGAAGGTTGTGGAGGAAACTAGTGTAACAGGAAACCGGCAACTTCCATGTGTACGTCCTGAGGGTCACCCACGGGGCTGAGCCTTGTTGCCAGTGAGCAGTGTATTTCACGCCAGTGTCCCCGTCCCCCATGCTCTGCTGCCGCCCCCGTGAACGTGGTGCTGTCCTGTCTCTAGAAAACTCCTGTGGGCACGTGTGGAGCCCTCCTTGGCACCACAGGCTGAGAATCTGGCACGGCTGTGGGGCCCAGGCCGTGCCCCTCATGGGTCCTGCTGCGGACCTCCCAACAGGCACCCGCTTCCCTCCCAGACCCAGCTCTGCTCCCATCACAGGGTCAGGTGTCTCTGTCCTGCCTCCACTGAAGGACAAATGCTTCCTGCTGAACCTCAGTCCGTACAGCACTCCTGCTTCACTACAGGTGTCCTGAGTCAATATAGTCACTGTTCCCACTTCCAAGGTCGCCACTGGGACACCAGGGTCCACTGTCCTTCCTTGAGAAGAGCCCCAAGATGGGAGCAAAGGGTCAGATGATTCTTACGGACTCGGTCAGCTCAGCCTAAGTTACGAGCTGCATCTGCCTCTCCTTAGGGGTGTCCCCAGGAGGAGGTGCAGGATGATGGGACAGTCAACCAATGAAGTCAGGGTCTCAGGGTCCTGGGGAAGGAGAGGGAGCAGGTCAGCCAGAAGCAGTGAGGAGGTGGGAGAGGAGGAGGGAGGTTTTGGCCTCACTTCCCCTTTGTCTGTGTCACTGTGGCTTAACCGTATTGGCCATCAATACTATAGCCTACACCACAGTAATAGTCAGCCTCGTCCTCAGACTGGAGGTTGGAGATGGTCAAGTAGCGGTCGGCCCCAGAGCTGGAGCCTGAGAACCGGTCGGGGATCCCGACCCCCTTGCTGTGGCTTCCATCACTCTTAACATACATCAAATACCGAGGGGCCTTCCCTGGCTGCTGCTGCTGATACCATTCAATGATGTAGCTGCTGTGCTCACTGCTGAGGGTGCAGGTGAGCTTGGCCGAGGCTCCCGGGGAGGCAGAAGCAGACGGGGGCTGGGTCAGCACAGGATCAGCACAGAGACCTGCAGACACAAAACACAGGGATGATGCCCAATGCACTCAGACTGGACAGATGCCCAGTGGAACTGTCCTTGGAGGGAAGCGGGCTCCCTGTGTGTCCAGGGATGCTCTGACCTGTGGAGAAAACCAAGGGCAGGAGGTAGAAGGGAGCCCAGTCCATGGCGAGGGAGGCTTCCAGGAGCTCTGCCCTGTGGCTGCCCAGCTGGCACTGGCCTGTCTAAGCTCCTGTCTTATCCTCTGTCCTTGCAGCTCAAGAGGGAGGAGCATTGAATGCAAATCTGTTCACTGTTGCTCAGCTTGTCTGTCTCAGCCAGAGTCTGATCCCTGAGCCTAACAGCTTCTTGCCTGTGATTTCCTGAGGTCAGAAAAAGGTCCAGGTGTTGGTTTCATTGTTAAGAATTGATTTTACACAACAGACCTGTCTTCAAAGTAATCTCAGTCATGCCCTTGGCACTTGAGCACAGCCAAGGGCACCTAAACCAGAAAGTTTCCCAATCGAGAATCCACAGTGCCCCCTGCTGTGCACAGGATGAAATCATCCTACATGTGTAGCTAGTTCATCAGATGGATATTTCTAAGAACTTAAAGGATGGTTAACCTTGGTGAGGGTTTTATACTCAACCCTCACCTGACGTCAAAATAACCTGACATCAGAATAACCCCACGACGTCCCTGAGCTGAAGGTCCAGCCCCTCCTCCTGTCTCATGAGCTGGGGGCTGTCATTGAGAGGTTATGATTTTCCCAGAGTCCCCCAGACAGTGAAGAGGAATCAAGACTTGAATCCAGGAGGCCGACCCAGAGCATGAGTGTTAGGTCCTCTCCTTGCTTCACCCCTCTCTGGGCTGCATGTCTCTGCGGCCCCCACCCCAGGACCCCTGTCACCACTCTCTTTTCTTTTCACAGGGTGCCGTACCCCAGGAGTCTGCTATGAAGAGCGCCCAGGTCCTCATGTATTGTCACCTGAGCTTCCCAGTGACACGTGGGACTGTCTGTGGGAAACCTGGGGACCCTCCCACAGCTCCCTCCCTGACAGAGGGCACAGGGTCCCATGTCAAAGGGGCATTGGCATCAGGGGACTGGACAGAGTTCATTTCAGGCTGGGTCTCTAACAGTTTGTGTCAGGGTTGTTTTCTCACATGGTCAGAGCCATTGAGTTTCCATAAGTGTCAGTGTTGGGAGAGAAGCCTTTTAAGTTTACAAAACTGTAAAATTTTACATTTTCAAGACAGCACTTTTGTTACCTGATGTCCCAAACAAATACATAAGCTGTCCCCCTGGTGGTGCTGAGGGTGCAGTGAAGTGAGTTCATGTACAAAATGCTGGAGGCCTTGCCCTTGGAGGGGACTGTGCAGCCCTGTGGTGACTCATGTACGCAGACAGACAGACCTCTGACTCACTCCTCAGAGATGGTCTGAGGGACAGTGGAGAGGGGACCCGGGTCTCGTGCCTGAGACACGCCTCCCACTGTCCCCAGCTGAGGGGACCACAGCAGCTACTCTCTGCCCTCCCACCCCAAGGTGTCCACTCCTCACACTCACATCTCAGGGACCCATGGGACCCACTGGCCAGTGCTCACACCTGTGCCGTGGTCTCCTGACCACCTGGGAGGTCACCTGTGAGTGCCATCCTGGGAGATTTCACCACCTTCCGCACCTGTGAGGTAGGGAATTATATTCCTTTGTGGAGAATAACAAGTGAACATATTTGGCCAGTATTTCCTTAAATAATTTGTATACATTCCACCAAACCTTTCTGCTTTAAAGATTGAAATCACACTCATATGAAGCACCCTCCGTGTCCTCCAGCACAGTGACACTTCTGTGTGTGTCTTCAGTGTGGTTTTGTGTCTGTGTCTCACGTCCTCTCTGCAGTTCCTCCTCCACGTCATCTGTCCCTCTCTTTTCTCTGCGCAGATGAACCTGCTGTCAGTCACATCACGGGTCATTGTGTCTCAGACGCTGTAGTTTCCACGTCTGTGTGGTGACTTGGCTGTGGTGTTTGTCCTCCTGGTCTGCAATTACCGCGTCCAGTCATTCTCCCACACCCCGGAACACATGGAGTGCAAATTTCCTTAAAATCCTTGAGTAACTATTCAATTATCTCTGAAATTTCATTCTTTTTCATGAGGGAGATTGAAATTTCATGAAGGAGAGCAGGTCTCTGTGCTGCACAGACGGTGCCTTCCTCTGGTGACTGTCCCTGAGCTGTGATGGCAGGTGGACAGGAGTGAAGCCACTCCCAGGGTGGTGCTAGGAGGGACGGTCACACAGGCACGTTCCAGGCCCACCCTGACCTGCTGCAGCTGCATCTTAGTCCGTCCCAGGGGACCTGTGTGTTCTGGCCTCAGTCACCATGGAAACTCTCACTTCCTCCTGCTGTGT